GCCCCCGGGCGCCCTGCCCTGGAATCAAGAGCCTTTTCTGACACCTCCAGTTAGTTTCCATGGGCTCTGCTCCCCTTTAGAATCTGCTGCAACAACAGGATGGCCAGGAACTTGAAAAACCCGCATCTTACATGCTGCCCCGTGCTCAGCCCACACGCTGGGCCTGAGGGGAAGCCACGCACAGGACAGACCTGGTCACAGCGCAGAGCTTTGGGTGGGAAATGAAAGACGAGTTCAGTTCAAACCCTGCTGACACCACATCAGCCAGATGACCGAGGATAAGATGCTGAGCCTAGGTGTGTCCAGGACCCGACGCCGACTCTCCGCTCCACCAGGGGCCTGCGGGAGGCCGGGAGGCCGGGAGGCCGCACACTGCAGCACCACACTTTCCTCAGCTACGCTGGGCTCAGACCATGCTTCCGCCACCCTCCAAAACACTAGGCGGGAGAGAGCGGGCAGCAGGGGCACAGTCCCCGTGAGGGCTTGCTGACAGCACTGCCTTCCCCATGGAGGCACAGGGATTCATGGCGAAGCGTCTCTGTGCTCTGCCCTCCATGTGAACACCCAGGAGGCCCGGGTCTCCACACACCTGATAAATAAATGCTGGGCAAAGTCCATGAATGCAAGGAAAGGGGATGACCCGAGGGCAGAAAGATCAAGCAGCGTCCGGCCGGCTTCTCTGAGGCCCTTTCACGGGATCCCGCGGCCGTCGTCTTGCACGTTAATATTCATGTGCACCGGGAGGAAGTCACAGAAAGAACTAAGCCCCCTCCCCTCGGAGGGAGTCACCGAGAAACCAGCAGCACCACCTGCCGCTGGCAGGAGCCAGCAGGGCCCTGAGTCGCAGGCTGTGCGCCCACCTCGTGCCAGGCGGGCTGCTTTGTGTCGGGCGGTGGGGGAAGTGCCCTGCCGACCTGGCAGGCTCGTTTCCTCCTCTCAGTCCTTAGAATTTCCTCCCAAGGCCAAGCTGCCCACGCTACTTGGGAAGAAATGGGAATGGCAGGGCTTGCTACACACAGAGGCTTTCAAAACAGTGTTTCTTTCATCCAGAGGGTGCAACTAACAATGTCTGAAAAGAGACCCTCTAATCTTTCTAATTTCTGAGGATGTTCAGGGTAATGGGGCAGCCCTGAAAACACACAGACTTCTCTAGCAGACTTTACTAGAGACTAATCCGTAAACCTGACACCACACTGTGCTCTGGGGCAGTGTCTTGGGAGATGAAAGCCAGGGGGCTGCTCCCATGCTCTGGGGAACTCGGTAGCTGGCATCAGACCCTCTCCTGCAGCCCATGGGAGCGGAGTACTGAGAGTGCAAAGCCACCCCCTGTCCAATGGGGTCTAGCCCGGCACGGTCCCCTGAAGCCACGCTGTGTAGGGTGTTCACATGCCTGGAAATGCTCATTATGTGGTACAAATGGAAATCTCAATCTCAATCTCTCTCTCTCTCTTCCCCCTTTATATGTATATATTAGATATATACACATATACACACAACTGTATATACAATATGACCCGACCACATCAAAACCTAAGTGCCCAGAGAGAAGAGGAAGCAGACCAGCTAGCATGTTCATCCAGGCACTGCCAGTGCTGGAGGCTGCGATGGCTCTCCCAGGACCTGCCCCCACAGAAGGCCTCGCAGCCGTCTAGGACCATGTGACGACTCGAGCACCGAGGATCAGAGCACAGGACCTGTCTCTAACTTGCTGTGTGAGCCCGCAACACGAAGAGCCTCTCTCGCCTTTAGTGGCCTGTTTTCTCCCAAGTCCCTGGGAAAATGCCAAATGTATCAGAACCAAAGAGAGGGCCCTGGGTCAGGAAGTGGAAAAAGACAGATGGCAGCCCATGAACCACCTGTGGGTACCTGCAGATATATTTTGATTAGCCCCAAATATTGTCAACATTTAAATATTAATATATTTCAAAAATGCAGGTTTCAATTGTTTCTTTTAAAAATTAGATTCATAATAACCCCAAAGTGGAAGTAACCCAAGTATCCATCAAGTGCTAAAGGGTTAAACAAAATGTGGTATTATCTATAAAATGGAGTATTATTCAGCCATAAAAAGGGATGCAGTAGGGATACATGCTAGTATGTGGGTGAACTTTGAAAACACTCGAAGGGAAAGAAGCCAGTCACAAGGGCCACGTGTGTGATTCCATTACACGTATGAAATGTCCAGAATGGGACTACTGGGGGAGGGGCACCAGGGAGGGGCTGCTGAAAGGGACAGGCTGCCAGAAACGCCCTGCAATCCATGCTGATGAGTGGCTAAGAACCACGGAACTGCCCACTTTCAATGGTTAAAATAGTGCATCTTATGCTTTATGAATTCTATCTTGATTAAAAGTGAATTGGAAGAGGAAACCTCTGCCTCTGGGCACCAGCTGCCTTTCCCCAACTCACCCACCTCTGGCCAGCCTGTCGATGCTGCCTGCAGTGTGAGAACCCCAACTGCCGGAGGTGATCCTGTCCCCCAACAGCAGACTCCCCAGTTCCCCGCGAGGGTCACGTCCCTGGCTCAGTCATTCAGTTCCAGGGCATAGCCCTGTCGACCAGCCAAAGGAGGGGCTGGGCAAACTTGGTCATTTACAAAATATTTATTCTACCGCTTCCAACCAGGTCACACAAACAGTAGAAACAGGGTAGAAGGGAAAGCTGTCTCCGTCCCACCACCTGGCCCCATGCCCCTCCCCAGAATCAGCCGCTGACTCAGCATAATTCAGTCGCCTTCCTCTCCCAGGCTCTTCAGAGAAGACCACGCGTTCATTCAATGATCAGTTACCGTTTTGAAAGGGACTGACAGTCTTTCCTGAAGAACGTCCTTATCCATACCTTAGGGTGGCCAACACCACTGCTGTCCCCACAGGCAGTGCCAAGTGGGTGCCTCCAGCAGACCCGCCTTCACTGCCCACGCACACGGCCATGGACCACGCAAACCAAGCTCCTGGCAGCCTTGGTGCTGGCCATCAGTGAGCAGGAACTGTGGACCATTTGGCCTAGGGTTTGCCCCGAGGCCCAGAGGGCTCCTGCCAAAGGAAGGTGGGGCTCTGTCTGCCTGGTCCCTAAAGCCAACAACATCACCCAAGGACACCCAGTGCCAACACTGTCTCTGGACACGTCCAAGCACTTGGCAAAGCTGCCAGGCCCCGAGTAACCACGAAGCCACCCATCCCCGCTTTCCAGCCCTCATTCTCCCACCCCCACCTCAACCCCTGCTGCCCAATTTACACCAGGAAGGTCCCCATGCCTGTACAGCTACACCACTGCATGCCCTCCTGCCCCTCACAGCCAAGCCTTCTGCTGGGAACACTCGTGCCTCTTCCTGGCCTGGCTACTCCTGCTCTCCCTTAAAGATTCCTCTAACATGCCTGCCTCACCCCCACCCCCAACTCCTGATAAGCCCACCTCCTGAGCTAAGCGCTGCCCCAGGATGCTCTCCACGCCACCAAGACCCAGCCCACACCTGACCGGAACCTTGATTGTGTCTGGGCCCCTGCCTGACAGGACAGAGCCTGGCATTTGGTACACTCCAGCAAGCATCCGGGGAACGCAGCCGAATACAGAACATGGTTCTAGTGGGGGAAACAGAGATCCCAACAGATATAGGCAAGTTGCCACAAAACATACAGTTCAAAGTTCGTAGGCAGAAAACCACAGACCACCATGGCCCGCAGGGTCCAGAGCACCTAGAGTACAGGTGGGGTGGGAAGCTATCGCCTGCCGGTCAAGCTGTGTGCCCAGCGATCCGGAAACCCATGTGCCCAAGATTTCCACCCACATTAAACCAATCATGCTACACGCAGGTTTCAAATCTCTTCTTACAAATTTTCTTACATTTGGCATTAAATAGAACTTTAAAATGTTCATGTAGCCTAGTAAACTGATTTACTATTGTATTAACTAGTAAGTAAGACCAATTACCGAAAATGTATCCCCTTTTCATTCGCAGTCATGTCAGTACATCATAGCCACTTGATTCCCCATTTCATGTTGTGTATTACAGTTTGTTAACCTGGGTGCTGGGTCCAATTCTGAGGCTGAGAGAGCTGATGCGCCCCCGCGGTGGGACAAGCCATTTCTGGTGCATGTGGGAAGCAGAGAGGACGGCTGCTTTCCCTCCACCAACGCAGAAACCATTCAAAGCAGAATGAACGCGTGCGCCCCACAGTCCTCAGGGGGAGAGCAGCAGCCTGGGCCCCCACCCGGGGCCAGACCCACTCCCACCTCTGCCAGATGAGAGAGAGCAAGCAGCTCTGCCCTGCTGCCCTCACCCATTCCACAAGCATGCAGGAGAGACAGACGAGGGATCGTTACCGCACGGCCAGGGATTCGAAGTGCTGGCTGGGGCTGCGGGCCCACCCCAGGGGTTGGTCTGGTTAGCTGAGGCTGACGGGCCCCAGGGCTCAGCTTGCTGGGCAGCAGGGCCTGAGCTGGGGAGGGCATCCATTAAATCCAACAGAGTGGTTTGCTGTGGGTAGGAGCTGGGCTTTTGAGAAAAAGAGAAGGAGACAAGTTTTACTTTGCTACAGTCTAGCCAACATCCATTTGTCAGCCATAAATACTGCCCGTGCTTCTTACTAGAATAGAGTCCCTCTCGAGGGGCGAGAAGCCTTGGTATTGAGCAGCCCCGTGCCCTGGCCTGCCCATGTCCCTCTGCCCCCAGCATTACCATAGCCACACTGAGCTATTTACTATGTGCAAAATGACCTGCCCACTTTCAAACAGTCCTAGGGCTTTCCTGCATGACCCCAGGCTTCCTCCTCCTCCCAGAACGCACACCACACCGCCTTGCTCCCAGCTGCCAGGGATACTTTTGGGACGGTGATATAGGTGGCCACTGGAGCCCCTGGCCCTGTGGTTTGAGGGGCCGAATCCTGACTGGATGATGAGCTTGTCGGGAGCAGAGCCATGTCCTGGTCACCCTGAGGTACGAAGCAGGAAGTCTGGCATAGAAATGATGACAGCAAGGAAGACCAGCACTATGAGGGCTGGCCCTGTGCCAGGAAATGGTGCCAAAGCACCTGACACTGAGCTTACGTAACCAACAGCCACCATCACTGCACAAGGTGGGCTCTACTACCTGCTATTCCACAGGGGCACTGAGGTACATACAAGTCAGCACGGGGAATGGGAACCTAGGCAACCAGTCCCCTGGTCCATGCCCATTTCTCTCGGGTGGTCTCAGGAGGCCACCACAGCCTAGGTGCCTATGGTCAATTCCATCCTCACCTCGCTCTTGCTCATCCCAGGCCTCAGGACTACTTGCAGAACCAAGAGAAGCCGCCCGCCCGTGGGAGAGCGCCCCGGGGCACGTGCACTGCACTGCGGGTGGGTTGGGCCCTTCAGCAGCTACTGCGGGGCAGTCTCCACGCGCTCACCTTCTAGCGAAGCACTCACCTCCTGCTTTTTTGGAACTTTAACGGTGTCTCTCCGGCTTTCTTCCAGGGCCATCTGCAGTCTGAGATCATCACCCCGCCGGAGGCGCTCTTCCTGGAGAGGACAATGAACTTGAGGCTGGGGTAACTGCAATGACATCACTCTATAGAACAAAGCAACGAGGCCAGAGCCAGGAAACCGAGATTGTATCGTGTGCTATTTCAAAAGAGGACTCGGAAACAACTTGCAGGACACAGTGACTCTTCTGTGACTCCCTGCTCACCCCCACACCCGCCTTGGGGTCCCAGGGAGACTGGGGCACAGGCACCACAAATTGGGGAAAGGGAATACTTATTATCAAGTGTTTTTTCTCAAAATGAAAATGGCTTTATCATTCCAAATACAGCAGCAATAGGTCAGCTTATAAAAGTAGACAATCCGACAGCCCAGAAAGGAATCAAGAGGAAAGTCACATACTGTCCCCCTCCCACTGTGCACACCTCCAGAAATGACTGTTTATTTTCTATGCTTTCTAACAAAGATAATTCATTATAGCCACCATACCCAAAAGACTGGGTCATCCTAGCTATTAAATGATTAAATATTAGTAAATAAATCCATTACGTTTTATTATAAATATAACAAATCACAGACATGCTATTAAGTAAAATGGGCCCAGAAGATCCACCTGTACTTCCATCTAACTGTCTGTAGTATTTTTCCTTTTTCCAGTGTTCAGATGCTGTTGGTTCGTCTCACCAGACTTCCCAGGGCTAAGCTGTTGTGAGCCCACACACCAGTGTCGAGGAAGCCGTGGACACTCGGCTTGTGCAGAGCGAGCCCGTGAGGCTTGGCCATGTCGGCAAAAGGGTTTCTGGGAAGCACTTTTGCCTGGTTTGTCCCTTGGCAAAGCCTTCCTTCCCTGAAGACCTTTCCTAAATGTGACTTTGCGTAGGACCCTCCCTGACTGGGGCAGGAGGTGACAGAACACACAGGTGGCAACACACGTCATTCCCAGAGCGTGGGGACAGGGCAGGTGTTTGTCCCCCCTGGGGTCCCTGCCCCCCGGCACAGGGCAGCACACAGTGGCCCTGGGCACAACCTGCTCAGCTACTTCTCTGCTCATGGCAAGCGCCAGCTGCAGCTGCAGTTCCTCTTCTCCGCTAGTCTGGGGCCGGGCCTGCTCCAGCTCAGAGGACACCCGAGGGGAAGTGGCTGTGGGAAAGGCAAGCACAGGTTCATGCTCAGTAGGTACCCAGGCAAATCACAACCCATCCCACCTCACACCCACACGGTCTGGCAACACCCCAACAATATGGGGATTGAACGGTTTGCAAACATTTCAAGGTTTAAAGCAAGTAACGTCAGATGTGGTTTCACAACTGCCACATGGCAACAACCGAGAGAAGATGCCTCAGGCACACGCCCAGCCCTCAGCCCCCAAGGATTTGCCCCTCAGCCTGCATTGCAGAGCTGCCCTGCTTCGGAGCGGAACTCGTTTTGTAAGATGGAGAGTATAGCTCCTGAAAAGCTGATCAAAGAGCATCAACCAAGGGCAGGGCACCTATGGGCCAGAGCGCCACTGAGACGCCCCCAGCATGAGAATCTCACTTTGTAGCTCATGGCTTTCAGGGTCATGGACAATGACAGCCAAACATTTCTGCAGTCACCCTGAAAACTTTTGTTTAAGTGAAACTGTATACGGACTTGAAAAAAATCAAGCATATGCTCCTTTAAACTCCTGTAAGCAGCTCCTAGAAAGACAGCTTTTATTGACGGGATGAGACAGTTCCTAGCTGGTGTGACAAAGCCCAAGGAAAGAGGTGTGTGAGGCTAGCCTCCCTGGAAATAAACAACGCTGGGGCTCTCAGGCTACCACGTTGTCTGTGCATCAGGGTGTCTCAGTGCCTCCAGAAATTAGATATAAAGCTCTGGGAGCATGTGCCTAAGTGTGCGCCCATCTCTGCCCGCCCCCCACCCCCCAGACAGGATCCACACTGCTCTGAAATTCTCCAAGGGAGGCCTGCCATCTGAGAGAGGATTGGAACCCCTGCCATAGATGGTTCTGCACCTGCCCTCCCTCTGGGCCTCCGAGCGTGCGGTTCCTCAGCCCACCCCTCTCCCCTCAGGTCTCAGAGCTCAGCTTCCCGTGCCAGGGCTTCCAGGACTGCCCTCCGCTGGGGCTGGTCAGCACCTCCTCTCTCATGGCACTCGCCCCCTTCTGCACCTGGGTAGGTAAATGCCAAAAGACACTACTTGGGGAAGCCCCAGGCCTGCCTTCTCACTGTTACTTCAACTAACAAGGGTTGACAGAGCAGCTGGCAAATAAATAGCCATTGAGTGGATAGATGCTGCATGCACATGGATGGACAGACAGAGGTAGAGAATTCAACTTCATGGCTGATGGTAATTGTTTGAAAATGCTTTCATTGTGTACTAGTTTGCTCCTTCTTTCCTTGCGTCCACTCTAACAAACCCAATCATCAGGATTGACCAAAATCCTGCTTTTGCCTAAATTTCCAGTCTTAACTCAGCACTCAGGACCTGCCTCTGGGAGAAAGTAAGAGGTGGGGAATGATTTCTGACAGATGAGGTTTCTAGATGGCTGGGTTCTGGCTGCAGTGAATTAAACCAGAGAAGCAGGCTGGGTAGAGTTGGGGTCGTGGAGGAATCCACAGAAGAACCAGGTGAGGCCGGGGCTGCTCCGGGCAGAGGCTGGAGTAGAGCAGGCTAGGAGACGCTAAGTGGCGTTGCTTTGTCACACAATTAAGAAAAACACATAAAATATACATCGGCAAGATTTCATTCAGAACAATTCAGTGGTGTTTGCTATGATTTATTATCAACCAAAGAACCATCCAAAAAATGCTGCCATTATTAAAAAAAGATACTTCTAGATAAAATCAAGTTGAATCCCCGCCTAATGCATCACCACGATATTTTACCAAGCATTTCTTTAGAAATAAAGCTAGATGGCATCCAAATGTCCTCACATCCATCTGGATAATTTGATTTCTTAATAATATACCAAAACAAAAATACATATTTTGCTCTCAAACATCCCTTCGCCCATCACAGCACTTGCGTTAGGGCTTTATTGTGCTCTGGAAGCAGAGCCATCTCCATCCAATTGGGAGAAACAGAGCCAGATGCTTCGGGGGGGGGGGGGCACTTGTGGGGGACAGTTCCGGAGGCATCGGGGAGACAGTTCTGGGGGACTCTACTGGACTGAATGCGACTCTTCTGTCCAGACCACCAACCACTCAGACTGCCCGTTCCCAGCCTCTTTCTTGATAAAAAATCTCCCAGGCTTGCTTCACAAAGCACTCCATTTGAAACCAACACAGTGCATCTGACACCCTTCATTTACTACCAAATGGAAATGGTGAGTGAAGAAAGAAGACCTCATATCCTAGCTCACAGCCCCACAGTGCTCAGAGCACAGCCCCGTCTTGGCAGGGAAAGCAGCCTTGGCAGCAGCGCCGCGGCCGGCTCCGCACGGGATGAATGGGCCAGGGCTCCGAACAGTGACCTCCCAGAGCAAGGGGCCTCCGTCCTGGGCGCCTTTCAGCACATCTGCGAGGCCAGGTGGCTTCAAATGCAAATGCACCTGCTTCGTCTACCAAGAGTGACGCTGTTAGAAAGATGCACAGCCGCCACACGGAAATAGCTCACCACATCAATGAGGAAATGAGAGACAAAGGGCATTCCCCTAAATGCTGTGGCTTTATGAACGGAGGCCCAAGCTCTCAGTTCCGCAGGTGGCGGAATCCACAGCCACTGGCCCTGAGCATCAGCTGAGCTCACACAGGTCTCAGCTGTGAGGAGGATTCCAACAGAGATGTTTTTGCATTAGTGACAGCATCTTGGCCCCATAAAGGGCCTCTGTGCCCGTGTACGTGACGGTGAACACAGACATGGTTGTGAGATGGGCCTGAATGGACCCTTCTGACAACCTGAGTGTGGCCCTGGGCCTACTCTGAGGATCTGAAGGTGCACACCTCACAGGGACCAGTGGGAAAAACAAGTGCCTGAGAACTGCCCACTCTTGGGTGAGCCACGTGCTTGCTCAGCCGGCGCCTATGGAAGGAGAACAGCACTTGCCATCATGGTTAGTGAATCACGGCAGGAGCGGGAGCGCACCATCGCCCTTCCCCTGCCGCTAGGATCCCGCCTGGAAGAGCTCAAAGCCAGAGAGTTCTAGACACAGGCCGCACTTTTGTCCTCCCCAGTGTGGTGCCTTGCCAAGGAAAGCCTGGGGGAGAGGCGGCCAGAGAGCCGGCCGGAAGAGGCCCACATTCCCCTGAAAGCACAGCGCAGAGGCCCCCAGGGCAGGAGACAAGGACCTCCGGCCCTCACTCCTCCCCTCCGGGGCCTGCGGACCCTGTGCTGCGGGCAGGCCCTCGTGCCCAAACATGCTCCCCAAACAGAGCCTGGAAGATGTCCTAAGGGAGATGCTTCCGCTGGTCAGGTCGGGGTCATTCTGAAGGAAGAAGGCAAAGCAGTCAAGGTAAGCGGAACAGGAAGCTGCTGCTTCTCATCGCTAGGTTCTGCAATTTCCTAGAAAGATGGCAGCTTCTACAATCACACATGCTGATTTATGAGAACAGACACAGTGGGACGTGACTTTACTGTCAAATGGCTCTTTGAGGTGACAGCATGACTCAGGTAAAGTTCTCAGGCATGTGGGCCTCCTGCAGGCCGAGGGGCCCAAGTCCATGTGTCCCCAGTTGAAGCTGGACACACAGGCACACAAGACATTTTGCCAGGCCTCAGGGGCCCAAGAAGACCTAACTGGACTCAAGCACTGCTGCCACCACTCATGGCCCTGTGCCCCTCAGCTGACCAGGGTTCGAATCCTGTCACCACCATTCACTAGCAGTGAAACCACCCACACACGGCCTGACCTCTCTGGGCTCCTTCCTCTTTGTGAAACCGAGACCAGTGAGGCTTGAGGAAGGGTCAGGAGTGCTCCTGACACAGCGGGCTCTCCCCGGAGGAGGCACCTGGCCTGGCGCTGCTCTCCGCCCACCCCATAACCACCAGACCCTGGGGACCAGAGCTCTTTGGGGCACTCCAACTTCTATCTCACATAGCAGAGCCAAAAATGGGTAACTGTGGTGGCCCAGGCCTTCATGGGGACAGAGGCTGTGGTCTCTACCTCCTCTTTCTGCTGCTGTGGTCCTTTGAGGGAGGGGTTGGGAGCCCACACCGAGCCCAGAGCCAGCATCTGCCTCCAGCGACGGTTCCCAGTCCAGCTAAGTTCCTTCCTCTGACTAAACTGCAGCGAAGTGCCGCACAGCCTTCCTCCACAGGGCAGCACCTGCCTGCAGTTTACAGGCCATTTCCTGTGCCGGGACCCTCGCTGCTGAGGACACCCCGCCCTCGGCTGGGCCTGAGCGAGGCTTCTACATCCGCTCCCCCTGGGAGAAGCTCCAGGCCGCTCTACCACTTCACAGGGAGGAGCGGGAAAGACTGCTTTTAGTTTAATGAGGCGAATTACGAAAAAGTACGTTCAGATTGCCCCAGGTAAAATGAAAAGAGAAAACAGATATAAATCCACGGGGGAAGGCCCAAGAGGCACAAGATGAGAGTGTAGCAAAGTACCATCACCCAGCTCACGCTCAGGCCGCCAGGGGTCTGACTGCACAACAGAGGGACAGACCGAAGACACCTGGTGCGACGGCCAACCCCTGCCTGTCACATGACATTACCCCACCACCCATGATACTCCTGGCAACTCCTCTAACTTGATTCCAATCCAGACCCTGGATCTGTTTCCCAGCTCACACAAGTGTAGAATGAGAACTGAGCAAACACTGCACAAGGCAGCCATGAGCCAACCCCGCCCCAGGGATGCTGCAAGGCAACTGCCGGGTCTCCTGCACAGCAGGGTCAAGAGAAAAAGGGAATTCGCTGCAATGCGACCAAGGGGACAGGACAAGCAGATACAACTCGTGGTCCTGGGGTGGCCTAGGGTTAGACAGATGAGCGGGAAGACACTTTGAGGACAGCTGGCAACTGTGTACGCAGTATTGGATGACTCTGTTAGGGTGGCAATGGCTCACTCTTCAGGAGGCATGCTCAAGTGCTGCTGGGGAGAACTTCTCTTTAACACTCTGGCATCAAAGGAAGCGAGAGCCACTCCTCTCCCAGAGGAAACAACTGTTGACATTTTCTTGTGATTCCACCCAGAAAAGCTTTCCAAGGCATGC